GGGCGGCCGCGGGGGCGGCCGCGGCGGCGCGGGCCACCGAGCCCGCCGCCGCCGCGGGCGGCCGGAGCCGGGCGGCGGCAGCAGCGTCCGCCGCGACAGCGGCCGCCACGCCGGCCACGGCGCCGCCGGCCGCCGCCGCCACCGGAGGGGATCCGGCGGCGGCGGCAGCAGCGGTGGCGACGGCAGCGGCGGCAGCAGCGGCGGCGGCCGCGCCGCCGGCGGCCCCGAGGGTGGCCGCGGCGGCGCCGGCCACCGCGCCCTCCGCCGCCGCCGCCGCCGACGGGGAGCCGGCAGCGGCAGCGGCAGCGGCGGCGGCGGCGGCGGAAACCACCGCCAGCCAGCCGGCCGCCTCCGACGGCGGCGGCGGCAGCGGCGGCGGCGGCGGAGGGCCGCCGAGCCCAGGCGCGGCGTCCCGCCGCGCCGCCACCAGCCGCTGGCGCCGGCGCAGCGCGGCCCCGGAAAGGGCTGAACCAAAGGCGGACAAGGCAGCGGCCCAGGCGCGTACCTGAGAAGGGGCGTGCTCGAGCCGAGACGGCTTGAGCCAGGGGGGGGGTACGGAACTGGTGGCGGTACGCGAAGCGTCAATACTCGTGCATTCTCACCTTTTCGGGCTTCCATGAGCTCAACATGGACCAAGACGCCTCCAAGATGGCATCACGATGGCCCACGAAGGCCTCAAGAGGCCCCAAGACGGCCCACGAAGTTTCCAAGATAGCCCAAGAGCAATCCAAGAGGACTCCAAGTCGGCTCAAGGGAGCCCTCAGACCGCCCTCAAGGTCCCAAGAGTGACCCCAAAACGACACAGATAGCCCCCCAAGACAAACTTCGAGGGTCTCAAGAGGGCCCCCAATGTGGCTCAGAGGGTTCCAAAATTGCCTGAGAGTCCAGGAGGGCCCCAAAGCGGCCCAAGGGAGCATTCAGGCGTCCCTCACGGTTCCCAATAGGCCTAACACATGAACTCCGAAAGCGCGCCCAAACGGCCCAAGGAGCCCCTAAGAGCTTCCAGGGCGCCCCCCAAGACGCCGCCAAAGGGCGCCAAGAAACGCCCGAGAGGCCTCCGGCAGGCACCCGATGCGGCCCCAAGGCCTTCGAGAAGCCCGAGGTGTCACACGTGACATCCTCCCGTGCCCCCCCCCGAATGATCGCCACCCAGAATGCTGTGCTGGCACGGTGGCGGGACTTGACGCAAGCAACTGTGTATCCGCCGCTCCCTGTCGATTCATCGCAAAGGTGCCTGGCGTGCTAGACCCTTGCGGTTTTGGTTTTGGTTCTTTTTCCAAAACGACTCCCCCTGGGGCTTCCAGCGCGTCCAGCCGGGGTCCCCGAAAGGATTGCCAAGACCTGGCTCCAAAGGGCTTCTCCTGCTCCAGACGGCGCTAAGACGGCCTCCAAGACGGCTAAGATGGCCCCAATTTGCCTCCAAGACGGCCCAAGATGCACCAAAGACGGCATCAGATGGCCTCAAGATGGCCCAAGACGGCCCAAGAGGCCCCCAAGAGGCCTCCAAGAGGTCCTCCAGGAGGGCCCGAAGAGGCCAACAACATGGATTTTCCTTCGGTGTTTGAAGGGATTTGGCTTTTGCTTCTTTTCGGCCTTCCGACGGCTCAAGACGGCCCAAGAGGCCCCCACGATCGCCCCAAGATCGCCCACGAGGCCTCCAAGATGGCCCCATGACGGCCCAAGAGGCCCCCAAGACGGCCCCCAGAGGGCCCAAGAGGCCTCCAAGACGCCCAGGATGGCCTCCAAGACGGCTAAGATGGCCCCAAGATGCCTCCAGCACGGCCCAAGATGCACCCAAGACGGCTTGAGATGGCCTCCAGATGGCCCAAGACCGCCCCAGAGGCCCCCAAGAGGCCTCCAAGACGGCCGGGCCCGAAGAGGCCAACACCACTGATTTTCCTTTGGTTTTTGAAGGATTTTGGCATTTGCTTCTTTTCGGCATTCCGACGGCTCAAGACGGCCCAAGAGGCCCCCACGATCGCCCACGAGGCCTCCAAGATGGCCCCATGACGGCCCAAGAGGCCCCCAAGACGGCCCCCAGAGGGCCCAAGGCGCTTCCAAGACTGCCAAAATGGCCTCCAAGACGGCTAAGATGGCCCCAAGATGCCCTCAAGACGGCCCAAGATGCCCCCAAGACGGCCTAAGATGGCCTCAAGATGGCCTAAGACGGCCCAAGAGGCCTCCAAGAGGCTTCCAAGACGGCCCAACATGCATCCAGGAGGCCTTCCAGGAGGGCCCGACGAGGCTGAAATCATTGATTTTCCTTCGGTGTTTGAAAGATTTTGGCATTTGCTTCTTCTCGGGACTCCGACGGCTCAAGACGGCGCAAGAGACCCCCAAGATCGCCCAAGCGGCCTCCAAGATGGCCCCATGACGGCCCAAGAGGCTCCCAAGACGGCCCCAAGAGGGCCTCAAAACGGCCCAAGAGGCCTCCAAGACGCCCAAGATGGCTTCTAGGAACCCCTGATCTGCCCCAAGAGGGCCCCAAGACGACCCAGACAGGCCCCCAAGACGGCTTCCGACGGCGTCAGACAAGCCAGGAGCACCCTAAGACTGCCAAAGAGGCCCCCAAGAAGCACCGAAGGCCCCCCCAAACCCTCCAAGAGGCCCCCAGGAAGCTCCCAGGAGGCCCCAGGAGTGCCCCAAGAGGCGCCCAAGAGGCCTCCTCCTCCTCCTCCTCCTTCTTCTTCTTGTTTTTGTTCCTCATCCTCCTCCTCCTCCTTTTCTTGCTCCCCCATGCGTTCCCCGACGTCTTTCCAAACCGACTCGGGGAACAACTGGCCCGATAGCTTGGCCAAGCTCTGGCCCAGCTGTCGGCCACAGAGGCGCTTCCAAAGGGGCAGGGGGCGGCGGTGATTCGCCGTGAGCGTCTTCGATATTCATCCTTCCTCCCTTTCTCACCATCAGGTGTACCGGTAGGGCGGGCTGGGCGTTTCGCCTGAGACTTCCTCGCCATCTGCGATCTGGAGACCTGGGACTTCCAACGGCTGCCAGGATGGAGGGCGGTCCCTTTCAAGCATGTGGCTGTCGCTGCAGCGCCACACGCACACTTGTCTCCAACAACTGCAGCAGTTACAAGAAGTGAGGACGGCCCCTGCTCAACGCGGAGCTCTCGCTGGATAACTCATGAGAAACCCAGATGCTTCAACACACGCAGCAGCTGCACGGATGGAGGTGGCTCCATCTTACAACGGGGGCTCTCGCTGGACAGCTCCACGAACTTAACTGCCAGACGTGCGAAAATATGTGCAACACTTGCACGGGTGGGGGTGGTTCTGATTCAAAACGGGGCTCTCGCTAGAAACCTCGTTAGACTTATGTCCATGCAGCGTCGCAGTCCTTAATCCTCGCTAGAAAGGGTGCATGGCAACGTTTGGCAACAGAAAAAGCGTTCGCCAAAATGGCAGGTTCATAAGGAGCTCGTCTCTCAAGGGACGGCCCCATGTAGCGAGAAGGAAGGCTTCTGGGGACTTATGATGAAGAGGCTTGGGGCGAGAGGGTGTGTAGAAGCATCGCTGATTCATCCTGGGTTTACTATGGTCCTCCTCCTTCTCCTCCTCTTCCTCCTCCTCAATAACACAATATAAAAATGATTACTCCCTCTCGAAGCTGTCCAGATAATATCCGCCCCCCGTCGTGCACTGGGTCTTGTATGCATATGTTTTGCGCGAGCGGGGCTTTCTTCTGTACCTCCAGAGTTTGATATCTTCGCGTCTTTTTGTGTACACACAAGATTTGCGCGAACTGGCTCGTCGTATGGTTTTAGCCATGCGGTTGTATACATGCTTTCACACATGGTGCTCTCGCTGCATCGTGGGCCTCATTGTCGGATCGGCGCTGTGCCCCCGTTGTTTCGAACGGCGTTCCCACCCAAGCGTGGGCCATTTCTGGATCCCACAGATCTCGCAGGCACCACAGGTCCCACAAATGCCGCGGGTCGCCCCGCAAGTCCCGCCGCTCTGACAGGTTCCACAAGTCCCACGGGGCCCGCAGTTCCCACAGGCTTTGCGTGGCTCACAGGTCCCACAGAAATCCCCCAGGTCCCACAGGTCCAGCAGGTCCCGCTGGTGCCACAGGTCCCTCAAGTCTCGCAAGTCCCACAAGCCCCACAAACCATAGAGGTCCCTCAGGTACCACAGGTCCCGCAAGTTCCCCTTTTCCGACTGCGCTTAACAGTATGGGGTCTTTTGCGAAGTTCCAGGTCGGCTATGACACGCGTCCGCAGATGGCATCGCCGATCGATCGGCGACAAGCCCCCGATGGCGAAACCGCACGCTCCTGGCTGGGGCGGGCTATCGTGCCTCTTATCGGCAATGAGTGGGCGATTGTGGGTGGACGCGCTGATGCTGCTCCTTCGAGGATAGAGGGGGAAAGAAGGAGGGAGAGAGGAGGAAAGAGGAGGCGAAGCGTCCTTAAGGCTGACCTCTCCGCGACGATGTCTGGCAACACATTGCCTCCAGAAGGGAGGTCAACGGCCTGCCGAGGGGCCTTGGCGATCGAACGAGTGATCGATAGGGGGAGCGACCCGCTGATGGCATCGCGCCCCTCCTTGTGGAGAAGGCGATGCAGGCGGAACACCAGCGACACTCCTCGAGCCGAGCCCATTGCTGGCTCAACGAGGCCGAGGGCGACGAGCGGAGCATCGGGCGCCACCAACCTCCCCCCACCCCCCCCCCGCTCCCCAGACCGTGGCCATTTATTTCCTGTTTTTTTTTTTCTCTCTCTCTCTCTCTCTCTCTCTTTACCTTTTGGCTTTTTCCCGCCCCCCCCCAGCAGCGAGTCGCCGAGGAAGAGGGGGAACAACGAGGGCCCGACGAGGGCGAGGAGGGGCCTGGGCCCGAAACGAGGGCGAGGAGGGCCCGACACGAGGCGAGGAGGGCCCCGACACGGGAGGGCCCGCAGCGCGGCGAGGAGGGCCCGACGAGGGCGGAGCCGGAGCACTGGGCCCGACGCGGGCGAAGGTGGGGCCGTCCTCCGAGGCACGCGGCCCGCCCGCGCGCCTCGCGGCCTGGCCCCAGCGTCGGCCGCCGCTGCGGGGCCCCGGCCTGCGAGTCGGGGCGCTCTGAGGGGCCCTCCCTCCCGACCTCCCGCCCGCCCGACCTCGCTCCCGCCCGTCCGCCCGTCCTCCCGCCCACGCTCTCTCCCTCCCTCCCCCCGATCACCCTCGCCTCCTCCTCCTCCTCCTCCTCCTCCTCCTCCTTCCTCCTCTATCTCTTCTCCTTCTACAGAACGCCTCCCTGCAAGACCTGGACCTGCGAGACGGGGCGCTCCGACAAACCCTCTGTCTCTCCCTCCCGCCCTCCCTCCCGCCCTCTCTCCCTCCCTCCCTTCCCCCCATCCTACCTCCAAGCGGGGGGGGGGCAAGGCTGGCGGCATTCCTCCCCCACCCGGGATACCGAAAACCTTTGGTGTCTGCGTTTTTGGGTAAGTTCAGACAGTTCTAGTATGGTGTTGGTTTAAATTGTATTGTGGTAGTGCCATAGGCTCCGTAGCTCTAACATGAGGAAACCTGCGGCTGTCATTGACAAGTTGGTTTCCCCATTTGATTTGATTGGTGTCACAATGAAAATTACATGTTTCCTCATCTTTGAGGTACGAAGCCTGTGGCACTACCAAACAGTATCAACTTACGAAACCATGTGGGACTACCCAACGTATTCAACATACACCGTTCCCAAGATACCAAGCGGGGAAAAGGCCAGGGCGGGCGGACCACCCCCCCGCCGTGGTATCGAAAACCTTTGATTGTTGGTCGGTGTGGCAATACCAAACGTTATTTTTGTTTGGGGGTTGTTATCTGGCTGTGTGATCGAATCACAGGTTTCGAAGCTCAAGCACCCTGTGACTGTAAAACTGAATCCCCATTGGATTTGCTGTTTTTCCAATGGCAGTTACAGGTTTCTTCATCTTGGAGCTACGAGACCTGTGGCACGTCCAAAAACAAGTGAAACATACAAACACAAGCTGTGTGGCTACTGAATAACATAGGCTCAGGTTTTTCAAGCGTCCCAAACGGGAGAGGGCCAAGGTTGGCGGGATCAATCCCCCGCCCAGTCTCCCGAATTCATCTTCTTTAATCCCATATGTTTTCTTATCTGCTTGTGGGAGGGGGGAAGCTATTGCTGATTATTGGTCGTGTCGAAATTCTCGTATCTATAAGCTAAGAAAACCCGTGGCTGTCATTGAACAGCCACCAGTAACGCTTGTGACTGTCCCCAAAACCAAATATCCTCGCGCGGAGAAAATGCCATTCAACTGATTTTTATGTGCCATCCACTTGTACGGGTTTTTCATTGCCAAGCGTATTCACTTTTTATGGTTTCAACTGTCTACATGTCGTATTACGTGCAACTCTAATGATTGTATATGTTTTCCGCTGTATGGATCTGCGTGGATCTCTTATTGTTGCCACTGTATGGTTTTATGTGTGTTCCCCAAGTGGCTGGGTTTTTTTCCAATTCCATCACCTCGAGTCGTGTGGGTTTCCAATTACTTTGAATGCGGATTGGTATGTTATTGTTTAGCCGTGTGGAATGAATTATGATTGTGTTTCATTGCATGGATTTCCTGCTGCCTTTCAATATCTGGTTTCCTACTGTTCTGAGTGTGTGGCTTTCTTCTTTTTCCCAATTGCATGGCTCCTTATGGCTGTCCAGTGTGGTCGAAATGAATGCGTGTAACCATGTAGCTGATCATCTCTATCTCTCTCTCTCTGTCCCTCTCCCCCTTTCGGTTTCTCCGCCCATCTCTCTGTCTCTGTCTCTCTCTCCCTCTCTCTCTCTCAGGAGCGCGCGCCAGTCCTGACGATCGTCAGGCAGCGAGCGACTAGTGGCCTGAGCGTGCAGCGGAGCGCCAGACGCACTGCGTCGGCGGGCGAATGCGGGCTACGCCTTCCCCCCTTTGTGCGCAGCAGCACAGAATGGAGTGCCCCCTCTCTGAAGCGAAATCGGGTTGCACCAGCGTCGGGAAGGGCGCCCTGGAGCTTCCAGAAAGTTTGCGGCGCCTGGCCAACGCATTGCCCAGAATGCGGATTCCGTTATACAGAAACACGCACGGTCGGCGCCCCCGAGGCCGAGATCCTTCATAAAACAAGCGAGGCCCACGCCTTCGACGCTACCAGGCGCTCCCCAGCGACGCTCCAATAACGCCCGAGCGCTCCCAAGCGGTCCCAGGCGCTCCGCAGGCGGTCCCAGGCGCCCCTCAGCGCTCCCAGACGCCCACAGGCGCCCCCAGGCGCTCCCGGGCGCTCTCAGTCGCTCAAAGAACGCCCAAGCGCTTCCAGGCAGCCCCGGGCGCGGCGGCCCCACGCGCTCCCAGACACCTGAAATATTCCCAAGCGCTTCAATGCGCTCCAGGAGCGCCCAAGCGCTCCTCGGCAAACATTCCCAGACGTTCCCAGGCGCTTCCAGACGCCCTGGGAGCGCCCAAATGCTCCCAAGCAGATTGCAGGCGCTCCCCGGGCGGCCCCACGTTAAGTACGACGCCAGCGCAAGCGTCGCCTCTTGTTGCTCACCATGCTTGTGTACCTATGCTGAGTGGCAAGTAGCCAGTTTTCATATACTTACTTTCACTAGTGGCTTGTTCAAGTCACAGGTGGGCAACGATATCATTTCGCAGTCCGAAGGTGCACGCATGGACGACGGTCCAACTAGGCCCCAAGAGGATCCCAAGAACCCCAAGACGGCCCTGAAAAGGGCCCGAGACGGCTCTAAATAGCCCCGAGAGGGCCAAACGAGACCCTCCAAACGGCCTCCGAGGGCGCCGGAAAAAGACCAAAGGGCGCTCCAAGATGGCCCCAGGGACATCGAAAATTGCCAAAGAGTGCCCTAGGATGCCCCCAAGAAGGCCCCAAGGGCAATAACATAACCCGAAAACATCCCCAAGACTGCCCATCCCTCGTGCTCCGCCAATGGTTTCCTCACCAGCTGGAGGATCACACGGTCCACCAGCGTGGCCACACTTTGCTCGCCATGGCACGACATAAGAGTTCCCAGAAGACAGGGGGCGGCGGTGACTCGCCGTATTTAATGTCGTCGGTACCTTCTCCTCCTCCTCCTCCTCCTTTCTCCTTCCTCCTCTTCCTCTTCCTCCTCCTCCACCACCTCCAGCTCCACCTCATCGTCCACCTCCTCCTTCTCCTCCTGCCCTCCTCCTCCTCCTCCTCCTCCTCCTCCTCCCCGTCCTCCATCCCTAGTTTCTTGAACATACTTCCTGCGCGCACGCCACCAGGCGTGGTCGCCAAGGCGGTGTGGGCGTTCCGCCCAAGACCTCCTCGCCGTTTACGGCTGCAGCTCAAAACTGCCACCAGCCACGCGGATCGAGGGCGAACCATTTGTTGGTTCATAAGTCGAGGGCAAAACATCCACTCTCATAATAACCACCCCGACGCGCGAAGCCGTTTACTAAACGCCCCCACTGAGGGAATCGAACAGGGCAAGGCTGTTTAGTAAACGCCCAAGGCCGTTTAGAAATCGCCAATTGTCCAGGTCCGGGTCGTTTTCCCTCACTTGAAAAATCGGACTGCCGCAGTGGCGCCGCGCACATGTATCTTACGATAATCAGCTGTCGCACGGATGGACGGCGGTTCCCTTCCAGAACGGGGGTCTCGCTTGATCCCCCCCTGCGCCATATTGGCAGACGTTCAACGTTGTGCAACGGTGACGGCGGCGCCGTTTCAAGACGAGCCTCTCGCTTGAGACTTCTTCGGGTTTCAATGCGTCAGAACTGTGCAGCGGTTGCACGGGTGGAGCGCGATCCTTCGTCGAAGCGGGGCTCCCACCTGAGGCGCCATTCAACTTTGTCTCAAAACTTGAGCACGCGCGAATGTTGATCTGTCATGCACTCCAGAGTGAGATTGAGCTGTGTGTGGGCACTTCCTTGAACTTCGTGGCCTCACCTCGTCGCACCCCCTGTAGCTGGAAGGATGTAAGGCAACTCCTTCTCCAAATGGGGTTCCCGCTGGAGTTCTGGTCCCACGGGGCTCCCGCGTTGCGTTTCCAGGGTTCGTTCTTCGCAGTCAGTCAAAAACGAATGCTTGTGGTGACTTGTGATGGGGGGGCCTGGGACAGGAGGGTCTATTGCAGCACCACCGACGCCTGTCAAATACACTCTGGTCCTCCACTCCTTTTCCTTAATAGCTACATTCTCCCTGTCGCACCCCGAAGCCAGCTTCGAGGGCGGTCCGGGCGTTTCGCCTGAGACTTCGTCACCACTTATGACGCTGAAGCTTAAACATTGACACCAATTTCTCAAACGGAGGGCGGGCCGTTTTCAACACATGGTTCTCGCCTAAGCGCCGAGCGCATTCGTTTTTAAAGGCTTGCAAGGGTTTCGCGGGTTGAGGACGGGTCGTTTTCAAAGCACGACTCCCTCCTCAACGGCACGCAAATTTGTTTTAAAAGGTTGCAAGAGCTTCACGGGTTGAGGGCGGGTGGTTTTCAACATGTAACTCTCGCCTTCGCGCCGCGCACATTGTTTTTTCAAACATGTGCAATGGGTCCACGGATTGAGGAAAGGTCTTTTCAAAATGTGACTCCCGCCTCAGCGCCGCGCACATTCGTTGCAACAGGTTGCAAGAACTCACGCATTGAGGGCGGGTGGCTTTTAACGTGTAACTCTCGCCGTCGCGCTGCGCACATTGGTTTTAAACATTTGCAAGGGTTTCACGGATTGAGCGCGGGCCTTTTTCAAATGTTGCTCCCGCCTTAGCGCCGCGCGTATTAATTTTAACAACTTGTAAGAGCTTCGTGGATCGAGGGTGGTTGGCTTTCAAACTGTAGCTTTCGCCTTAGCGCTGCGCGTACTCGTTCTTAATATCCGCAAGAGTTTCACGGATTGAAGGCAGTTCCTTTTCAACATGTGGCCCTCCCTCACCTTAGCGCCCCGTGCATTCATTGTTAAACGTTGCAACGTACCAAATGTTTTGGAGAGACTCATGATTATGAGGATGCCACAGCTACGTTGGTCTGCGGTGCTGGGTCGTCAAGGCACAAACATCAGGTTGATCCGTGGCGTTGGAGTCCCGAGATTGACGTTTTGGCATGCGTCAGAGTCTTCAAGCGGTTGTCTTCCAACGCGGCAGTTCCCTCAGTGGAAATGAACCATTATGGGGGCCTATGAAGAAAGAGCTTGGAGGGAGGGTTTATGCCAACCTCGTTGATGACTCATGGGTTTACACTGGTCCTCCTCCTCCTCCTCCTTCTCCTCCTCCTCCTCCTCCTCGGTACGACTTCGGGTTCCGCACAGGCAGCACCCTGAGGTAGTCCCAACTGGCCTCAACCTGTCCCCCGACTCGTCCAGGGCGGTCTCAGCACCCCAGCCCTGGGGCGCGGAGCGCCCTGGGCCCAGGGGCGTCGCCGGGGGCGACGCCAAGGTGTGGAGACCGCCCTGGGCTACTCTTAGGTCGGGCATGTCCTCCTACAGGCGGATTTTGAAAAACGAATGTATCACAGTGAAACTACTACAACAATAGTCAAAGATTCCTCCTGTAGGGGGACATGCTCGACTTAAGGCTACTCGGGGGGCCTGCTGAGGCCAGCCAGGACTGCCTGGGGGAGCTCCCTGTGCGTAGCCCGAAGCCTTGCCACTCCTCCCCCCCTTCTTCGCGAGCGCTCAGTCCTCCCGCTTCGAATCCCCTGACTGCTCGGCGGCCTCCTTCGGCCAGTGCGGGCGCACTGCAGCGGTCCTCTTCGGCCATCGTGGGCGCACTGCAGCCGTCCGCCTCGGCCACCGTGAGTGCAATGCAACCGTCTTCGCCCTCGATCGTGGAGCCCGCTGGCCACCCACGGCGGAGGCGCCGTGCGCTGGGGGCGCTGCTCGGAGTGGCGAGACCTCTCCTCCTCCCCACTCCTCTTCTGTCCTCCTCCCTTCCCCTTTCTCTTCCTCCGTCCTCCCCCGTCCCCCTCCCTCCTCCTCCCAGGAGAGTGCTGTTGACATGGCCACCTTTGGACACGCTGAAACCAACAACCCTGTCATCTCTTCGGAAGGCCATCCGTGCGGCCCTGCGTGCGCACGCCTGGGTTCCCTGCGGCCGCCCGGGTGCGCACCCTTCCGGCACGGGGGAGGCGCCGCAGGCCGCCGAGCTGCTGCAGCTGGCCCACGGCCTGATCGAGCTGCGCCGCAGGACGGCAGACGGGCTCGGCACTCACCCCCACCCCTTCGGCGAGTCTCGCGACCCTGGTGGAGGCCGCGCCTTTGGAGCTGGAGCTGGCCAGAGGGCTTCGAGCGGGCGCGCCCGCCTCTGCCCCCGGCGGAGCGCAGCACGACCTGGTCGGCACCCTCGTCGCCGCGCTCCGTGCCTCCGAGCTGGGCCCGTGCAAGGCAGCGGGCCGCGCCGTGGAGCAGGCGACCGAGGTGTCGCTGGACGGCGGTGCGTAAATCCAGGACGGCGACGGGGGCGTGGACGTCCCGGACGTCCCGCTGGAGACGAGCGCCGTGGAGGAGCCGAGCGCCCTGGTCGTGAAGGTGTACGTCGTCGTGGGCGCGAAGGCCCCCGTCCCTGGCTCGTGGTGGAAGGCGTGGAGGCCGAGCCCGACGTGGGCGAGGACGACGTGGTCCAGACCGCGCCGCTGGTGGCGCAGGAGGGGCCCTCTCTGGGGGTGACAGTCCCGCCGACGGCCGTGGCGGCGCAGGAGCGCCTCGACCATGTGGAGGTCGTGGCGATCACTCACGGTGCCTGTGGATGCGGGCTTGAAGGCCTGCAGGCCCAGCAGGGGATGACGCAGATCGTGGCTGAGGGGCTGGAGTCCCCGGCGGCCGCGAGCGAGGCCAGCCACACGCAGGACAAGACCCCGTAGACGAGAAGGGCGTCTGCGTGCCTCTCGCGCCGGGCCAGGAAGGCGGGCATCCTCGCAAGCACCTTTGAGGAAACAACTCCTGGGAGGTCTTCGTTAGAGCGACGAAGGGCGATACAGCCAGATGAAGGGACCATTGATCCAGATTCGGTCCAAGATTGAACCGGATGAAGCGGAATACAGCAGGCTTAAGTAAGAGTGAAGGGGGACTGAGCTGGATTCAGCGGGATCATGCGGGTTTAGGCCGGTTTTCGACCACGGATATAACAGCGCCGATGCTCAATGTAAGCTCCCAGGAGTTGCATCCTAACACTTTGCTGCGAAATGGGAGAGCAGCCGATGCGGGCCTGGTGCGACAGGATAGGGAAACGCTACTGTTGAGAGAAGCGGAAGGCTTGCGCGCTTTGTCGGGCAAAGGTCGTGGACACTGAACGTTCAAATTGGAATGCTCACTCCACCCCTCCCCCCCAGACTACGGCCTCACACTGGGTGCAACAGACCGCTTGTCATCGTTCAGACGTCCATTTCCCATGCCTTTTTCGGTGTCGTGCGTTCATTAATTCCCAAACATAATCCAGGATGCTTGTCGATGGTCCTCGCGGAAGAAAAATGCACACGTCCGAGCGATGCCAAAACCACGAACCCGTGAGACACAGCAGAGCGAGGCCAACCCACGGAGATCTTCCGGCCCGTCTGGTGCCTCCCCTGGCGACTCCTTCACGGGCGCCAGGACCCTCCGTCCTACAAGCGGAGGCGGAGGCAGAGGCGGAGTCAGCGCAAAAGATGGGTCCATTCGCCAGTGGAAGTGCAGTCGACGCTGATAGTAAGAACGCGCGGTAAATATTCAATGGCCTTGGGCGTCCATGCCGAGGCTCTTCGAGCGGGGCTGGTCATCGAAAGTGGTCGAGGACGGACCGAAGATGACCGAAGAAGCAAGGATGCAAGGGTACCCGTGGGAAGTCGCTCACCCTTACTATCAATTTCGACTGTACTTTGCTGTGGAAGGTGTGTATGACTACGGGAGATACATACGAGAAGGCATCTTGCTATCAGACATAAAACGGCACATGTGTTGTCGATCGTTGAACTTCCTGCCGTATCCCAGGGGTCCACGGGTTGCCACGGCCAACATTGCAATACGACATTCCCGTGGGGCACTTGCTGTCAGGCTGGTTTCATGTGTGATGCACCTACTGTATACAATGCTATTTGACTGCCCCCCTCCAAACCAGCGGTACCAGAACATTGTCTAGAAACTCAATCGCTCTGATGCATACTGCGGGGCGCCGTGAGACATCTCGGATATTCCGCCATTTCGTCCCTGCAGGGCGTAGCTGCCGTCGCGGGGGAGGCTTCGGTCCCAAACGGCTGCGGGTTTATTTCTTTCACACACACACGCACATGCTCTCTCTCTCTCTCTCTTTCTGTCTGCATGTGTCTTATGCGCGTGCGGGGTAGAGCTGACAACGAGCGCGCAGTGCATGCACGCACTTGCGCATGCGCACGCGCATGCATGCAAACAAACATCCAAGGCACCGGGTGGCGCCCACACATCTTTCCTTTTGCATGGGCATACACACATTTGCGTACACGTGCGGGCAGTAAGAGAAAGACAGAGAGAAAGAGAGAGAGAGAGGGAGAGGCACAGAGAGCCAGAGAGAGAGAGAGAGTGATAGAGAGAGGGGGGAGCAGAGAGCAAGAGAGAGCGAGAGAGAGCGAGAGAGAGGGGGATGGAGAGGAAGAGAAAGAGAGAGAGAGAGAGAGAAAGAAAAACAAACAAAAGTGAGGGAGGGAGAGATGAAGAGGGGAGGGGGGAGAGAGAGAGCGAGAGAGAGAGGGATAGCGAGAGAAAAAAAAACAAACAACAAGAGAGGGACGAACAATCAGCGCAGGCAAACCTATAGAAACTGGAATCATGCGCGCTTTGCGCCATCTTGGGATCCGGTCAAGCCCTTACGTTACCATCATGTTACAACTGCACCCATGTGCGTATCCACGCACTGCTGGAACATTACTTAAACCAACTCTATGGACGCGGACAAACAAAAGTGCACTCGTGCAAGTTCAACGCGGGGCAAAGCAGTGAAATTAATGAAATGCATTGTAACGCCAGTGCAGAACAAAGCATTGCCATGGACGTCGGACCCACTTGCAATACAACGAAGCGCAATGCGGCGAATACTCTTGCAATCGGAGGGACAGCAAAGCACCCGCAAGCCAATCCAATGGAAACGAACGCCAGTCACAGCGGTGTCACGCAAATCAGCCTCAACCACAACGACAAACAATTATAATGCCAAATCCATGCGTCTTGATGCAATGCGAATCGACGCAAGCCTTTTGAGGAACCCCGGTGGACCAGAGGATCCCAAGGAATTCGGAGGTCGGACACCAAACGAGTTGGGATACCCGCGAAATAACCAAGAGGATCCGGACAGGGGGACGAGAGTGCAACCGAGGAGATGGGTGGCAGACGGGCGATCGAATACTGAGGCAGAGGACGGCGGAGGGAGGATGAACCGAGGTGGGAAGCAGGAGCGAGAGGAGGAGGAGGAGGAGGAGGAGGAGGAGGAGGAGGAGGAGGAGGAGAGAAGGAAGGGAGGAGGAGGGGACGGACAGAATGGAGTGAGTGAGGGAAGGAGGGAGGGGCGGAGGAGCTAAGGAGGCACTCTCTGGGGCTCGACCCCGACGAGGAGGTCGAGGGCTGCAATGGGGCCAGCGGCTCGAACAGAGCAGATGTCGTCGGAGGCCTGGGGCCGAGGGCCAACGGAGCTCGACGCCCTGGCTGCCAAGTTTTTGCGGCCGCTGCTCTCTTCATCCCAGGGGAGAGAAAGGGAGGGGCGAGGAGGAAGGGGGAGGCACGAGGGAGGAGAAAGGAGGAGGGGGAACGACAAAAAGGAGGAGTAGAAGGGAGGAGGAGGCGAGGGAGGAGGGAAGAGAAGAAGGAGGAGGAGGAGAAATAACGAGCACATAAGGAGGAGGAGGAGCAGGAGGAGGAGAAATAACGAACACATAAGGAGGAGGAGGAGGAGCAGGAGGAGGAGGAGGATAAATAACGAACACATAAGGAGGAGGAGGATGAGGAGGAGGAGGAGGAGGAAGAGGCGTGCGGAGGAAGAGGAGGAAGAGGAGGAGGAGGATGAGGAGGAAGAGGAGGAGGACCGCACCTACACCCGAACACACAACTGGCTGATTCCACGTCGTTTGGGGGGGGGGGGGCGCCGGGGGGCCATCTGAGCGCCCCTTCGGCCATCTTTTGCTCCCGCGGGGCTGTCTGGAGAAACAGAGGAACGCGCAATCCCGAGGCCATACTTTCTCGCGCAATACGACCGATTCGCCATCCCGAGGCCACAACACCCTTTGTAGATGACAGATTCGCGCTCCCGAGGCCACACACCCGAGCAACGTACTGCAGATTCGCCCCTGACGACCGCGCAAGACAACTCCAAGAGGACCAGCTGGACGGCCCGAAGACGCCGCAGCCAACGGCTGTGGCCAACCATTACGTATGTGGTGTTGGTTCCTCATTTTGAAAGGACAGCGCCCCGCGTCCCTCACTCCTTCCTCCTCCCCCTCCCCCTCCCTCCCCGGCATCATCATCATCATCATCATCATCATCATCATCATCATCATCATCATCATCATAAACATCATCACAATCATCATCAACAACATCATCCTCACCATCATCATCAACATCAGCATCAACATCATGATCATGATCATGATCATGACGGTGATCATCATCATCATCATCATCATCATCCTCATCCTCATCCTCATCCTCATCCTCATCCTCATCCCCATCATCATCACCGTCGTCATGTTTACCACCCACGGTTTTTCCCAAAAGAGCCCCAAACTGGCCCAACAGGGCCGTTAGAATACAACCAAACACGCCGAGATGGCCCAAAATGCTTCCAAGACGGGTGGAGGCGGCCCCAACACGGCCAACTTTCGCCTCAAGACTGTCTACGATGACCCCTGGACGGCCCAATATGGTTTCACGACACACGATGCCCCTCAGACGGCCACGGGCGCCCCACGAGAGCCTCAAGATGGCCGCAGAGAGGGCTCCAACACTGCCAAACAAGCTGGAAGGGGACCCCAAGAATGCCCCACAAGAGCCCAGGACAACTCCAGGACGACCCAAATGAGGTCCGTGAGGGCGCCTCGAGAAGTGGCGGCGAGAGGTGTCAAATGCGACGGCCTCCTCCCATTGTTCATCCTCCTCGTTCTTTCCTTCCTCCTCCATCTCTTCCTCCTTCTCCTGATCATGATCCTCATGCTCATTATCAGCATCGCCATGACCCTTGATTATCATCATAATCACTATCATCATCAGCATCATCATCATCTCCACCATCATCACCACCACCATCATCATCCACATCCTCTTCCTATTGCTCTTCCTCCGTCTTCTTCTCCCCATCCTCGTATCATCATCAGCATCAACATCACCATCATCATCATCATCAGCACCACCATCATCATCAGCATCAGCACCAGCACCATCACCACCATTATCGCCATCACCATTATCAACATCATCACCCTCATCATCATCAACATCATCATTGTCGTTGTCATCACTATCGTCCGCTCCCAAGTCCTCTTTCTCTTCGTTCTTCTTCGTCTTCTCCCCTCCATCCTCGTCAACATCATCATGAGCATTACTATCATCAGCATCACCACCAGTATCACCATCATCGCCATCACCATCACCATCGTCGTCGTCAACACCATCATCATCATCATCATCATCATCATCAACATCATCGCCATCGCCATCATCATCATCACCACCATCATCATCATGTTCATCATCATCAGCATCCGCATCCACATCCGAATCCGCATCATCGTCACCAGCATCATCATCATCATCATCATCATCTCCACCATCATCATCCCATCATCAGCATCATCATCAGCATCCTCTCCCAATTGCTCTTCCTCCTTCGTTCTCTCCCCATCCTCGTAATCACCATCAGCATCAGCATCATCATCATCACCACCACCACCATCATCATCAGGATCATCACCATCACCA